ATGAAGTATCGAATTCAATATGTAAGAAGGCAAATGCCGTACTTAATAGACAGGTATCGTAGTGACAATACAAACACGCAACGAACAATTAAGAACTATCGATATTAGGTTTAAATAATTATCGAACTCAACTAAAATAATCATTTTCTTATTAACTAATTTAAAGGACATTTCTAGTATTCATTATAGAGTAGAGAATTTAGCGATGACAGAAATAATAGCGAAATCAAATTCGATTACGTACGGCTGTAGTAGTAATAAACATTTATTTAATCTCATTATTTGTAATGGTTATATTATTAATTTGAGAAAACAGTGTTTTTTTTTTATAATTCCTAAGTTATAACTATGAATCTATCGATTCCAACTTCTATAAGAATAAAAATCGAAAATCGATAAGATTCATGACTGATTACACAACCCATCCTTACTAAATTTGAAGTGAATTGTCAAACTAATCTAAATTATTTAGACACATATCGTTTATATCGTAAATCGATTGTATTAATAATTATATATATATAAGAATTATTTCATTAATTGTCTTTAAACTGAAACAAAAAGATTTTTCTTTTTTTTTTTAAACATAAGGTGGCAAACGAGCAAGCGGCCACCTGAATCCACCGAAATGGAAAGCGACCGCTGCCCATAAACATCCGCAATTGCAGATGCGTTGCCTACCCATAATTGACGGAGGCGACGCACATTAAAAGGACATTTACCCTTCCTATGCGTCTCCTCCACCGTCAAATCCACTTTTCCTTCCCATCCTTTCTCTTAAGAAAAGGGTGGAAAGGGAAAGGGACTAAAATTAGGCCTCCGGCACCACACTCATCAGACGAAACGCGGAATTGCTTCCACTTGACGCCTGTTTTCTGTGTGGTCGTGGTATTACACCGGGCGAGCCGGCCAATTCGTGCGATGTTAAAGCGGGCTCTACCACTGAAAAGATTCTTTATTTAATGTTTTTTCCTTTCTCTAATTAAATCAGTTATAACGCAACATTTAAACTATCATACATGTACGTAACTATATGACATAAGCCGAAAATCGATAATTGGTCTTGATGCAATGCAACATCACTAAACAAATATCGCAACACGCTAGGGTTACCAGATTGCAAACACGAATTCAGGATATTTTTTACTTACCTTAATTTTCAATCTTACACCTATATCGATCTATACTAATATAAAGAGGAAAGATTTGTATTTTTGTATGTATTGAAATAACTCAAAAACTACGGTACCGATTTCAAAATTTTTTTCACCCTTAAAAAGTTACGTTGTCAGTGTTAAGTCAGCATTATTTATTTATTTTGAATTTCTTGCAGGCGAAGTCTCGAGCAACACACAATAAAACTATTATTATAAAAAAGTCTTCTGTTTTTAATAAGACATGGTAACCCTAGCCGTAACATTCGATGTAGTTGAGACCTCTTAACATTAGTTCAGTGTAGGAGCGCTTTAGTTTATATAAACTTCGATATCTAGCCTTGTAATAAGAGATTCTCCTGACTTATAATCAGTGGTAGTGCCCGCTTTAACATCTTAGCACAAATAGGGTGACTCGCCCGGTGTAATACCACGACCACACAGAAAACAGGCGTCAAGTGGAAGCAATTCCGCGTTTCGTGTGATGAGTGTGGTGCTGGTGGCCTAATGTTAGTCCCTTTCCCTTTCCACCCTTTTCTTAAGAGGAAAGTATGGGAAGGAAAAGTGGATTTAACGGTGTACACGCATAGGAACGGGAAATGTCCTCTTTATGTCCGTCTTCTCCTCCGTCAAGTGAGGGTAGGCAACGCATCTGCAATTGCGGATGTTTATGTGCAGCGGTCGCTTTCTTTTTCGGTTGATTCAGGTGGCCGCTTGCTCGTTTGCGACCTTATATCATAATAAAAATATATATACTGAAATTTATATCAATTCACAACATATCTTACTAATATTATAAATGCGAAAGTTTAGATGGATGGATGAATGTTTGTTAGAGTTTGTAGCCTAAACTACTGAACGGGTCTCGATTCAATTTGGCATAGACGTAGAGTATAGTCTGGTACAACACATAGGCTACTCACTTTTGTTATTTTTAATAACCACGCGGACGGAGTCGCGGGCGAAAGTTAGTTGTGATATATTTCTTTATTTTAATAATACTTTTAGGATATAGAAAAGACTGGTGTAGTGTATGGTAACACTGTTCACTGTCATGTTGGCATGCTAGCAAGTTAGTCCTATCCGAGGCTGGGAGCGAACTTCACTAGCATACAGTACAGGTATTGTCTATACTTACTTATATTATAAAGATTTGTATGTATTGAAATAACACAAAAACAATTGGGCCGATTACAAGAAACCTTTTACCATTAAAAAACAGTTTTCAGTAAGTAACATAGGTTATGTTTTTATTATTTTTAATCACACGCGGACGAAGTCGTGGGCAACAGATAGTAAATAATAAACAAGAGCGAAGTGTTCTTTACAATTAAAATTTTTTTGACAATAGTATTAAACCGTATTTTGTGTGAAGTCAACCTACCCGCAAAGTTTAATTCCGCGCGGATGAAATCGCGTGCAAAAGCGTGTTATTTATCAAATACTAGCTGTTCACGTGCGGCTACAACCGCATGTAATTATGAAAATTATAATTTATTGCTTACATTTGTCAAATTATCAATAGCAAATGTCAAAAAGACATGACATGACTAACCTTAGCAATCTTGTTTTCTTGATGTTGGCAGCAACTTATGGTCTCTTTCCCACATTAGGGTTTTTATCCAAAATATTTACCCCATAAGTTTGATGACTTGAAAATATATAGCCTAAGGCGTGACGTAAGTGTAGGGATTTTTATTAAAAAGAGTATTCAAAAATATGCTGTAATTGCTGACATCTTAGGCAACAAAGAAGTGTGTGTTTACTCTTTATTATAATAGTATAGATTATAATCTTATTTCTTAATAATATTATAAATGCGAAAGTTTAGATGGATGGATGGATGTTTGTTAGCGTTTGTAGCCTAAACGGCTGAACGGATCTCCGTGAAATTTGGCACAGGTTTAGAGCATAGTCTGGAAGAACACATAGGGTACTTTTTATCCCGGGAATAGTTACGGTTTCTGTGGGATTCATTAATTTAGTTTTTTAATGTTTACTCGATGAAATTTGGCACAGATATAAAACAAAGTCTGGAGTACACATGGGATGAGGTTCATACCCGAGAAATGTCCGGTTCCCGAGGGATACGTAGCTTTTTGTTATTTATATAGTTCGTATGTTTTCTAATACCACGCGGACGAAGTCGCGGGAAACAGCTCGTCATCAATAAATGTTTCTAATAAAATGTTACCAGAGTAACTATTTACTTTATTTTGTAGAAAGTTTGTATTGCTATAATATAAAATGTAAACAAAACTGACTTTAACTTTAAAAGGTAAACATATAAATTAGTACCCTCTTGCCAAAAGACATATCGACTCACTTTATTGCGTAATTTTACAGTTTGTTCATTGATTTTGTAATATTAATTCACGCAGAAAACATTCAAAACTAGACGGATCTAAAGTTAAGTATGGTTGAAACCCAAAAGTAAAAGAAACAGTTTATTTTATTATTGTTGCTCGCGACTTCGTCCGCGTGGTATTAGAAAACATACGAACTATATAAATAATAAAAAGCGTATCCCTCGGGAACCGGACATTTCTCGGGGATGAACTTTATCCCATGTGTTCTCCAGACTTTGTTTTATATCTGTGACAAATTTCAATAACATATGTTGAACCGTTACAGAATTATAGAGTAAACATTTAAAAACTAAATTAATGACTCCCACGGGAACCGTGACTATTTCCGGGATAAAAAGTAGCCTATGTGTTCTTCCAGACTATGCTCTACATCTATACCAAATTTTATCGAGATCCGTTCAGCCGTTTAGGCTACAAACTCTAACAAACATCCATCCATCCATCCTTCCATCCATCCATCCATCCATCCATCCATCCATCCATCCATCCATCCATCCATCCATCTATCCATCCATCTAAACTTTCGCATTTATAATTTTAGTAAGATTAGTAAGAT